TTACAATTATTAACATAACACTATGTCATAAGTCAATCAACAATAACCTCCAAAGTGTCACATGTTTACAATTATTAACACAACACTATGTCACAAGTCAATCAACAATAACTTCCTAAGTGTCACATGTTTACAATTATTAACATAACACTATGTCATAAGTCAATCAACAATAACCTCCAAAGTGTCACATGTTAACAATTATTAACACAACACTATGTCATAAGTCAATCAACAATAACCTCCAAAGTGCCACATATTTACAATTATTAACATAACACTATGTCACAAGTCAATCAACAATAATTTCCTAAGTGTCACATGTTTACAATAATTAACATAACACTATGTCACAAACCGATCAACAATAAACACTTTATACAAAGCATGTGACTGTTGAGTCCCATTATACACTCTAGTTTAAGCTGAGACAAGATGACTGCATAAAGTGAAAGTAGAAAACCTGTAAGTTGTTGTTAACAGAATTTGTGTGTGTGGGTAAAGTAAAAATAAATGTGTGATGATATGATAAATACTGATAATACAGGTTGTGTAATGATTAAGTGCCAATAGAAGCCTGCATCTGAAGAAGTAAATAATGGTAACCAAACTCCTCACAGACTCTAGAATTTTCCCAGTAAGAAAGTAAGGTAGATAGTTAGGCCTACAATTGTCCTAGTGTAACATTAGAAACTCTCCAATCCTTGGGCAGCTGTTCACTTTCTCACCGAATTATAACAGATAACAAGATCACATATCCAATATTTGACCTTCTTTAAAACACAAGGGAAAAACCTTGGTGCTTTACTTTTAATATCAAAATATTTTTATTTACCACGAAATGTTAATATCAAAGAATTAATGTGATTATATCTAGAAAAATTAAGCAACACATAAGTAGCCAACAAAAGATAAGAGGTATGGATAGGAAAGTCTTGCCAAAAACTTCATGGTAAGATAAACTGTTGGTGAAATAGTTACTATGTTACTGATTAAACTTAGTTTATATTTCTCATTGAAACACACTCATTTTTTATTTCTGTTGCAAGTTGAATTGGTTCAGTCACTTAAAAGTAATTTATACTGTACAATAAAGGTTAACTGGTAGTAATGATAGCTGTTGCACCACATAAACAATAAATGGGCAGCAGGACTCACCATCAGGCCATCCTAGTGCTACATTGGATATTTTGTGCTGGAGTTTGTTGGACATAAAATGGGGGACCGACAAATAGCCATGGAAAGATAATCTGCATACAAGATACACCAGCTCCAATGACCAAGCAGCAAGTCAGATCCTTCCTGGGATTAGCAGGATACTACAAGAAATTCACCCCAAAATTATGCTGAAATTACTGCACCATTGACTGATCTGACCAAGAAAGGCTTACCCAACAAGGTGAAGTGAGAACAACCACACCAGGTGGCATTCCAGAAATTAAAGAACATGTTGGAAAGCTCACCAATTCTTAGAATGTGAGACTTAAACAAACCATTTATTGTTCAGGCTGATGCTTCAGACATTAGAATTGGGGCAATACTCTTACAGGAACATGAAGATGGACTGTTTCCAATATAAGTAAAAACTGTTGAATAGTGAGAAAAACTAATTAGTGATTGAACAAGAGTGTCTGGCTATTATATGTGCCATTCGGAAATTCCAGAACTATCTATATGGGAAGAAGTTCATCATCCAGACAGACCATCAACCACTTGTATACATTCAGAGGTGCAAGACCGACAGTGCGAGGATCATGAGGTGGGCATTGTATCTTCAGAACTACAGGTTCCGCATTGAGGCCATCAAAGAGACTGTAAATGTTTGAACTAAGAACAGTCTTTGTATACAGTAAAAAAAAATATATTGTAAATATTTTATCTTGAAGAGGGGTTTGTGTCATGATATAAAAGACTGTTTGGTTTATATTTGTGAGTGAATATTGTGTTATTTTTAAGTTTTGTTATAATAAGAATTAAAAGCAGATGATTGTAGAAGGTTTTGTTAATAACTAATTGGTGTTAAGAATATAGAAAGTGGCCAGATGACTATGTAATAAAGATATAAATAGCATGAGATGAGAGGAAAGCAGCAGACAGACTGACAATATTAGACAGATAAAAGCAAAGAGACTATAGTTGGGGTGAAGTTAAGTAATGTAAAAGTGATAGGCCTAACATTTAACACTAACAATGGAAAAGGTAATAAGAAAAAATAAGTTTATTTCATCAAAGC